ATTGGAAACTATTCTCTATTGGAAAATCTGATACTAGATAAGTTTCATTAATTTTAGTGTCGACATTAGTAAGATTTACATTGTCAGTTATAGTTTCGCTATTGAAGGGAAATATACTAGATAAGCAATTTATACAAAACCATGAACAATTTTTTGAGGAGTTTTTTAGTAATTGGTAGTCAATATCATTTAGGTTGTTACATTTTAGGTGGACCCAATTAAGGCAGTTATCGCAAAAAATAGCTTTTTGATTTTTATAGACATTAATTTTGCAAACAGCACATTTGCTATTTGTAGTTTTCATTACGGTGAATTTATATGACGATAAGATATATAAGTAAGAATATTTATATGAATGTAAGTAACTGCAACCTATTAAAAATCAAGAAACAGAATAAAATAAAAACAATAATCAAAAAAGTAAAATAATAAAAAATAAACGAAAACAATATATATGTAAGGTAAAACAATTAATTTGTCTTGCTGTGTTTTATGGTTGTTAACTTAAGAGTAATATTAGTAGCTAATATTCGAAACAAATCAAGAATTAAATAAAATAAATAAAAAACAATTAAATTAAAAAAAAAAAAAATAACTGAACAATACAAGAAACGCAAAAATAATAGAAACAAACAATAAAAATTACAAATATTATAAAACTTTCTATTTTCGAGCTATTTATAAACGCGTCGAGCTTTTTTTTTTTTTTTTTTTTCAAATAAAAAAGAAAACAAAAAAATTTCAAAGATTAAGACTTATAACTTTTCAATAAATCAACCAAGCGCACGTTTCTAACAAAAGAACTTTAACTATTTATCCTTTGTAACGTCTTCAACTTAAAAACACCAAAAACAAATAAAAATAAAAAAGAAAAAGAAAATAAACACGACAAAAAGTGCATTGTTATTATATAACTACGTTTTTATAAATATATAAAGCTTGAATAAAATTCAAACATGTTGCCGCAAATCAAAATAAGACAAAACAAGAAAAAACATGTGCAAATCTAAGGATACCATTGCTCGAACTCCAAAGCCATAAGCGATTTATGTCGACTCAGAAAGGTTTTATTAAAACATATCTGGAATCCTCTTTCTTCTTCTTAACTTTAAGTAAGGCTGGGTATTCGAGGTACCCGCTTACTATAAACTTGTTTTCTATGAGACGACGTCGTTCTTTCATGGCCTCATTGCGACGTCGAGTCAGCGATGGCGAATACATTTGTTCAACCCGAATATGGTTTTTGGACTTAAAATAGATATTTTTTGTGTGTTCACTATCAGCCCATTTATGACATTTGACAAAAATGTGGCTTGACTTGGTGCTGTTTTCGTGAACTTTTCCTCGATGACAGCGTTCGATTATGACATGGGCATTTTTTGGGTCTACGTTAGCCGCTTTTGCGATGGTATCTGCAATAATTAGTTTGGTATCAGACCAGGATTCCCTGAATTTGTTTGTGTCAACAGGAATGTTTTTAAAAATCAGTGTCTTTCTTAAATTTATATATATATAATTTATATATTAATTTAAGTATATGTAATTTTTAGTTCAGCTATATCGCTAGTTATTTTAGAAAGACTTGTGTTTATTGCTCGTAGGATTTCAACTTTGTGTTCATCTAAAAGTGCTTTAATGTTTTTCATCGATATTTCTTGATTAATCGACATTGTGACTTTTAATTTTTATATGGATAGATTGATAAATTGATTTAAATTCACTTTTTTGAATTTTTATTACATAGCGGTGATATATTGGAAAGATTTATTCGGATATTATTTGATACGTGGCTTTAGTTGATTTTATAGATTTACGCCATCTTACTTCTATGCCGGTTCACGAAAAAAAGCATCCTTAAAAAAAAATCAGCACCTAAATTGCAAAAAAAATTTTGTGAATGTGCTTCTTTAATAACATACAGCACTTTAGTTCCAGTAAAACAAAAATAAATATATTAAAATCTTTAACTTGAAATTAAAAACGTGTATAAGTTCTTTTCGTTAAAAAGTACTATGGCGCTCTGTATATTAGAGGTATTAAAGTAAACTAAAATATACGGTTAAAGCCCGTAATTTAAAGCTACGTAACTCCTCCGTATCATAAATACGGTCAAAATCCCATAAAAAGATGTGATTATTTCAAAAGTCTTAAAAGTATAGGTAAAAGACCGTAATTTATTGAAAACGGAATTTTTCCGTAAGAAAACAATGGAAAAAGTCTGATAAATACTACGGAGTTTTTTTACAGTACAAAACAACAAAAAAATTCATATTGCTTAAATTAATGTAAATGGATCTTTATTTGATTGGTTTACGGGCATAATTTCTCGATGAGCTAATGTTGCTCTGATGAACCCATATGTTCTATCTTTTCTAAACACCGGTTGAGAAGCTCTTGTGACTACTTGGACACATTGTTCAATAGCTTGCCCATGAACAGGAAAACAAGGTACACACATCGGAATATCATTGTATTTTAAAAGTTCATCCGTTAACAATAAACATGTAAGTAAAGGTTCGTGTACATCCAAACTCCAATCAATTAGATCAAAAAGTGATTGAGCATTTTCATCATGAATATGATGTTTTCTACTTCTTAAATTAGTGTTTCCGTATTTTAAATCTCCTATTAATTTTAAAATTGTTTCAATTGCAAATTGTCTTTCTGCTTTTTCTAGACTACACAACAATGCTTGAAGAACATTTTCACTATGAGCATTCCATGAAGAAGATAAAAGATAGGCCATAACAATGTCTTTAACTTCTAGTCTTTGATGACAAAGAAGTTTTAATTGCTTAAGCATATGGTTAGGCCTTTCAGTCCACTCCCACTTTACTTTGATTTCAAACCAAAGTGGCGCATTAACTCCAACAATAAACTCCACCAGAAGTTGATGATTATATGCTTCTTCAATTGAAAGTACAGTTTCGGAGCACCAAAGTAAACATATTCTATTTGCAAAATTCAACCATCTTGAATGTGAATGTGGCCTAATTTCTTAACCTTTAAGATTTTCCGAAAAAATCCCAGCGTAAATTTCATGGGTAATTTGATAAAGATACTTTTGATCATCTGATAGCGATTTTACAACTTCAGAGTCAAGTTCTATTATTGCATTTGGAAATTCAATTTTTTTTATGTTATCTTTGACTTTGAAACTAGTTGCCTTACCTATAAGTTTTCCAATAGAACCAGAAAAGTTATTTTTAGATGCAGCTTTTCCGTTAAGCTGAATCATAAGATGTTGGAGAGGTAGCTCATTTGTATGAAGAGCACAAACTATTCACATTAGTTTTTTATCAAATTTATATTCAAGGTAATGGATAACACCTCCTTTCGAACCAATGGCAACTAAATAGTCTCCAACATCATGATTCATAATCCATTCGTGAAGATTATCAACTATTTGCTTAGCTGCAGTCTCTACTCTCTCTTCAGAATTGTTAGTAAAATGAAATTGGTATTTTCCTCCAGGTTCAGAACAAACTGAATAATGTTCTTCTTTTTTTTCCGATTGATGAAATTTTACATCTCCTTTTTCTCTCATGTACTTAGTTAAATCTTTTTGTCTATCAAAATATATACATTGAATATTATCACTTATTGCTACTTTTTCAGCTCTACCTCGGATTCCTTTCATTAACTTAGTCTTACTCTGTTTTATTATATTGTGATCAACAAAAATATTAGTATTTTTTTTTTTAAATGTGCATCTTTTGCAGAAGCTAAAGTAGCAGTAACTATGGCTGCAGCAGCTCCGTCAGATACCCCATACCTAATAGCGGCTTGAGAAACCCTCGTAATATCTAAGTAATTTTTTTTAAACTAAAGTCAGCTTTTTCTGTATTATTTGCTTTTTTGTTACTAATGTCCGAGTCGTTTGTAGTTTGAAATTCTACTGCTAAAGGAGAAAATAAATTATGTTAAATAATTTTAATCAAATTAATTTATATTCAATTTATACTCAATTTTTTAATTCACAGTTTAAACAAAAATTGAAAATTTTTTTTTTAATATTTTAGCATTTACCTATATCCTCACTATTTGCTCCAGGTATTTTAGAGTCTGATTCTTTTCGATCCAAATATCTAGTCCAAACCAATGTGTCTCTGATATATCAACTAATCCTATTTGTAAAGAACTTTCGTTACCTATTTTATTTCTTTGAGCTTGTAGGAAAAATAGTTCTTGCAAAGGTATCTTTGCTACTTTTGGACATATGCAAGTTACATGAGCTTTAAAAAGACAACCATTGCATCCATTTTCATTACATCCATTTTCATTACAATCTTTTTTTTGTAGTTCTCAATTTTCCAATGTCTTTTGCCACGTTCCATTCAAGGACAAGTTTATCGACTGCATATTTTTCTGAGACCATCGGGATTGTAGATTTTGCTGATATTTTACTTTTTATATTAATAAATATTTGTATACACATAAATCTTGTATCCAAATGCGTAACTGATCTATCACGCAACAAAACTCCATATCGTAAACAATCTCTCAGCTTAGGCAGCTCTGATAAACAAAGTTCGAGTCCATTACCCAATAGCTCGTGCAATTTAGGGCATTTTAATATTGTTTGAGCTCGAGTAGATTTAGCCACTTATCGCAATGAAATTGATGTTATGTTTGTTTAAAAATATTAGTAGCTTTTCGTAGTAGGTAAAAAGACTACCTTTATATGTGTGTTATAAATTTGTTAATCACATCATTTTTATAAAAAAATTTAAGATGTCAAAGTGATCATAAATAAATAGAACACGAGTAGTTAGAGAATGCCGGTTCTAGCTCATTTTCATTTTTAACCATATTTTCAACCATATATTAATATTAATATATGGTTCAATGTTATTCCTATTGTATATAAATTATTTAGATAAGAAATAATTTTTTTCAATTTTTAAAAATTGAAAAAATTGAATTTTTTTAAATAAGTGTTAACTTTTTATTTCTTGTTTAAAAATGTCACGAAAATTTCTTGCTGTTTCTGTACCTTTTTATCCTATAGAATTTAAATATTCAAGTACTTCAAGGTAACCATTTTGAGCAGCAGTTGAAATTGCATAAAATGTACCTTTATATCCTAACGAATCTAAATATTTTAGTACTTCAAGGTGACCATTTCCTGCAGCATGATTAATTGCATATTTTGTTCCTATATATCCTATAGAATGTAAATATTTAATTACTTCAAGGTGACCTTTTTCTGCAGCATATTTAATTGCCCAATCTGTACCTTTATATCCTAACGAATCTAAATATTTTAGTACTTCAATGTAACCTTTTTCTGCAGCTAAATCAATTGTATGTTCTGTTCCTCTATATCCTATAGAATGTAAATATTTTAGTACTTCAAGGTGACCATTTTCTGCAGCTAAATCAATTGTATGTTCTGTTCCTCTATATCCTATAGAATGTAAATATTTTAGTACTTCAAGGTGACCATTTCCTACAGCACAAGTAATTGTATGTTCTGTTCCTCTATATCCTATTGAATGTAAATATTCAAGTACTTCAAGGTGACCTTTTTCTGCAGCAAAATCAAATACCCATTTAGACTTCTTATATCCTATAGAATGTAAATATTTTAATATTTCAAGATTACTTGCTGCATCAAAAATTGTATCTTCTGTTCCTCTATATCCTAACGAATGTAAATATTTTAGTACATCAAGACGGCCATCTATTATTGCAGAATTAATTACTAAATTTATACATGTATATCTTATAGAATTTAAATATTTAACTACTTTAATGTAGTCATATTCTGCAACATTATTAATTGTATCTTCTGTACCATTATATTTTAATAAATATAGATATTTATGTACTTTAATGTCACCATTTTTTACAGCAGTAACAATTGCCCAATCTGTACCTTTATATCCTAACGAATGTAAATATTCAAGTACTTTATGGTTACTATTTTTTAAAGCAAAATCAATTGCTTTTTCTGTCCCTTTTTCTCCTATTTGAATTAATATTTTAATTAGATCAAGTCTACCTATTTTTGCAGCAAAATCAACCTTATTACCCTGTTTAAACCCATATTTTTTTAATATTTCATTAATCTTAAAATTATTTTCTAATTCCATTCTTTTTATATATAAAAGAAATTTATTTAACTCATTTTCAATTTTTTTATTTTTTTTACAAAAATAAAATAATGAAAATTTTTTAATTATGTGTACTTTCATCATCTTCATTAACATATTCAGTAGTTTCTGTAATTTCAGTAGTTACTGTAGTAATTGTAGTAACTTCTTCATCTTCATCATCTTCATTATCTTCATTATCTTCATCATCTTCATCTTCTTCAGAATCTGATTCTTCTTCATATTCAGTAGTTTCTGTAATTTCAGTAACTTCAGTAGTAGTAACTGTAATAACTTCAGAATCTTCAGTCATTTCAATATCATGAGTATCAATAATATTTAATTTTTCTTCTATTAACCTTAATCTTTCATCTATTAATTTAAAGTTTAAGCATAATTCTTCAAGTTTCTTGTCTAGATCCATTCTTTTATATATATAAGAAAATTAAGTTAACTTATTTTAAATTTTTTTTGATTTAAAATATTTTATCAAATAATAAAATAAAAAATGAATTATGATGAGATTAATGAAATATCTGAATTTCAAAAAGAATTTAGACTTTTTGAAGAAATAAGAAACTTTGAATTTGAAGAATCTGATTATGACTCTGAAAATGATACTTATTTTATATCTGATGATTCTGATGAAGATGAAATTCAAGAAAAATGTATAGTTCCAATTCCTTCAAAAACAGTAAAAATTATGGAATTGTATAAAGATAAACTGAAATGGATTAATTATGTTCCAACTTATAATGATATTATTAATGATGATTTTCCTGCTATAGATAAGTTTTTTGTTAAAAAACATAACAAAAATAGAAAATTTAGTTCTGAAGAACCATTTAATATTGAAATTAATTTTACTGAAGATGGAAAACCTTCTGCAATTCATTTTGTAGAAAAGTTACCTATTTTTTGTAAAAATATATTAAAAGATGATTTTTACCCTTTTGGAAGAAAATGTAAATACAATCATGATATTCCTTATTGTAATATTGTAAAAGAAAGATTAATATGCACTAAAGCTTCATGCAGATAAAAGCATATTTCTATATGTTCAGAATATCCTAAATGCAAGAATAAAGAGTGTGGATTATTTCATCCTAAAAAGTCAGAATTATTAAAATTAAGAAAAGCAAAAACTAAATTATGCAGATATATTCTTGATAAAAAAGAGTGTCCTTTAAAAGATAAATGTAAATATGCTCATACTAAAGTTGAAATTAAAGAAAACGTAGAGAATTGTCCTTTTAAACTATGTAAATTAACAGAAAAGAAAATAATGAAAAATAAAAAAGGTGAAAAAATAACTTTATATAAAAATGTTAATGATAATAAAAAGTGTTATTATTTACATGAGAATGAACAGATTGTAAATTACATTGTAAGAACTTTAAAAAAATGAAAAAAATATTAGATTTAATATTTATGACTTAGGTCTCTTTGTGATCTAGGGATCACATAGTGATTTAAAAAATCTTTACATTTATAAAAAAATGTATAATAGAAGAATGTTTTTAGATTATGAAAAGCATGAAAAATATACAATAACTTTTAATATTAATTCAGATATAGAGCATAGATCAATAAATGATAGACATATTAAAGTATTTGCACAAGAAGATTTTACAGTAAAATCAAATTCATATAATAGCATTTCTTTAATGTGTGGAGTTAAAATAGATAAAGGACATGTATTGATTTCACTTGCAGAAAATTATAAACCTACTCTAAATTTACTAAATTCTGTTGTAATAGAGTCTACTGATGATATTAAAATAACTTTATATAATAATGATAATAAAGATATAAACATTAAAAAAGGAGATTTGTTATGCTGTATTTCATCTTATAATGGTGTTTATAATGCAAATTATATATCAGAACTTGATAAAAAAGTAGAACAAGTTAGATCACAAAGGGGCTCAGGAACTAAATCACAAAGTGATAAAGAATCTGTAAAATCTATATTATCAAGTATAGGGGGAATAATTAAAGAAACTATATGTGATGAAGATAAACCTAGTATAGATAAATCTGACAAAGCTCTATTTGATTTTGGTAAATAAAAGTGATTTAAAACAAATTTTTCTTTATAGAAAAAAGAAATGCAATGTAGTAATGAATGTAAACAGCTTTATCCAGATCTTAACCAGTTTTCAGAAAATCCATCTGCACCACCACTATCTGATCAGAAATTTAGATTAGTTAAAAAAAATGAAATTCAAAATAAAATAGAATGTGAAAGAATTAGAAGAGAGATCTTAAGTAAGAAATATCACAAAGCTTTAAGAACAGTTTCAGCTATTGATAATTCATTACTAGCTAGCACAATGACACTTGGAGCTGTTGGTATTGGCTTTTTAACAACGATAGTTGGATCACCAGTAGCTATTGGATGTGAAATTGCAGCATTAGGTATGGGTGTATTATCATTAATAGGATCACAAGCTATTAAAAAATTAACAATAAAAGCAGAAAAGCATGAAAAGATTAAAGTACTAGCTGATGCAAAACTAAATACAATAAGTAGTCTTATAACTAAAGCTATATCAGATCAATATATTGATGATGTAGAATTTAATATGATACTTTCAGAACTTGAAAAGTTTCAAGCTATGACTGAACAAATTAGAACAAAATCTAAGAAAGATATAGATGAGCAGACTAAAGAGTCAATATTTAATAAAGGAGTAGAAAAAGGAACAAATGATATTATAGAAGCGCTAAATATGAAATTTAATAAGAATCAAAGTATAGGAGTGATAAATAATACTCTTAAACATTAAAACATATATTATGTATTACTTGAACATATATTATGTATTACTTGAACATAATATATGTTGATTTAGATCTTTTTAGGGATCTGAGGATCATAGAGTGATTTAAAAAAATTATTGCTTATATAAAAATGTATGCAAAAGCTACAGATATTGATACAAGATTAAAAATAGCAAAAGAACTTGCTAGCGTAAAGAAAAGTGTATATCAAGATTCTATTAATGAAAAGTTAGGTTATGATACTTTACAGACTAACTTGGAAAAATTTTACAAACCATTAATAGATAGTCAATCTGGAATAAAAGAAGGTATATCTAAATTAGAAAATAAAGCTGATCAAATAGCTAATACTTTTTCAAATTATCCTGCTTTACTAGATTCTGAAACTAAAGCAATCATGCCACCTGAAGTTGTAGATAAAATGTCGTTAGGACCTATCGCAACAGAATATTTAAAGTTATATACTACTAAAAATAGTAAAAAAGTATCAGATGACATATTTGGTATACATTACAATGAAGGTAATGAAAAATTTTACATTGGTAAAAAACCAATAACTATTGAAGGTAATGATATAACTATTGAAGGTAAAAAATACACTGGTACACCTGGTCTTTGGGAAATCATAGTAAAATCTCATCCTGTTAGATATACTAACGATGATCGTAATAAGTATAAAGAAATTTTAGATCAAACAGATGCAATTCGCTCTGATTTAAATTCAGCTAAACCGAGATCATCTAGAAGTTATAAGTACACTAATGTAATAAAACCTATTTGGGAAGAGATGATTGGAAAGTCTGGAAAAGGAGTTGTCATTCTTCCTAGTGATCGAAATGCACTATTTGAGATGCTTAAATTACGCTTAGCTGCTTTACAAGCAGGCAATACTGGAGCTAGAAATGAGGTTGTTGCTATTTGTGATGAGCTGTTACGGCAGGGTCAAATAGATGATAATGAGTATAAAGCATCACAGAAAGCGATTTAGATCCCTTCGGGATCTAGATTCATGCAAATGAATTAAAAAAAATATTATATATATATAAATGACAAAATACTATGATACTCTTATCAATCTTTCAGATAGTCAGAAAGAGAAAATTAAAAAAGCAATTGAATCTGATACTAATGCTGTTATAAAACTAACACATCAAGATCTAAATGGTGAACATAAAATAGCTTTAACAGATTCACAAAGAAACAGAATGAAAGCAGCTTATTTAAAAAATAAGGGTATAACACTTTCACTGAGTAGAGCACAACTTAAACATAATACTAAAGTAAATGGTGGATTTCTACCTCTACTAGGATTAATTGGAAGTGTAATTGCATCAAAAGTTGTTCCGGCTATAGCAACAGGATTATTGACTGGAACAGCTGCAGCTGCTGGAAGTACTATAGTTAATAAAATTGCTGGAAAAGGTATTAATCATAAGAAAAAATATGATAATATTTATATGAAAAAGAATGGTAAATTTATAAAAGTAGGAAAAAGAGTATTTTTAAACCCATGGAATGGTAGTTATAATTATTTAGATGGATATTATTCTAAAAATGGAAATGAATATTCATCAGTAGGTAGAGGATTGTTATTAGGAGAAAATTCTCCATTTAAGAATATACCATTATTAGGTCTTCTTCTTTAAGTCTTCTTCTTTAAATTCTGAAAGAACCAATGCTTCGCTAGGTCTTCATAAAAAAAATATATTTTTTTAAAAATATATATTTATTGTTTCCACAACGAAGTTGGATAATAAAATAAATCTAATCCACTTCTATACTTTCCATTTAATAAATCAGAAGACAAATCTATAACAATAAATCCATGCTTTTTTGACCAAGCTTCATTACAAAACTTTTTAAATTCATCTAATTTCATATCATTTGAAACATGATCATTATAAATATGGTTTATATTTTTTCCATCTTGTTTAACCAAGCATATAAAATTTGCATTTTCTCTTATTGTTCTCTTAGGCAACTCAAAATAATTTTGTGCCAAGTAGAAACAATCTACATTGCTATGTCTTCCTCTTATATAGTACTTTTCACACTTGTTTTGCTTTGTTAATTGTAAATCATCAAATATCATTAAATTATTTTTAATACAGTTAAGATTTTCAGGTTCTGGTACATCCTCTGCTGTTTCAAAAAATTGACACTCTATATCTGTTTTATCTTTTAAATCTCTTGAAATGTTTTTAATAATAAACTCTGGACTTACATTGTTTTTATTTATTTGATCTTGCAACTTAAATAGTTCAAGAACAACTTCTTTTGGGAATCTATTTTCAAAAGAATTTTTTAATATTTTGTATTCAGGTTGAAAAAGTGACTTTCCAAAAACTTGTAAATGATTATAGTCTAGCCAACCAGGTTTTAAGAGCAAGTTTAATAATAATGTTGTCTTTCCACAACCTGATTTTCCAACAATAATTCCTCTTATACTTTTAGGTAATAACTCATTATTATGACGTTTACTTTTATTTACATTCCATGATAAATCTATAATATCCATTTTTTATT